CTGGGGATTCGAACCCGCCACCTTAGGTGTACGTGGCTGGCGCCTTAGCCGGTTGAGCTATAGGCGCCGAGCCCAGCTATTTTCTATACATAGACGACATATATCCCCTTTAAACACACACAAACAGAAGCCTCGTATCCCATACGTCTCTAATTCTTAAAATGCTCCTTCGAGACTTGTTTCTCTCGGAGCCAGAGTCCACAGGCAATACTTCAGGACCTCGCCCTTCTCAGCCTTATTATCCTGTGCTCCCGTGAGGTCCTTGGCTGCCACAGCAACACACTTCACCACTTTGTTTTTAGACGGAGCCTCACTCAGTCGCCCTCGGTAGAGCGCCCTGGCGTCACAGTTCATAGCAAACTTAAACTCTTGTGCTCAAGTGATCCTCTTGCCTCAGCCTCCCAAGTAGTAAGGACTACAGGCGCCCACCACGACGCCTGACTAGTTTTTCTATTTTTCGTAGAGACGGGAGTCGTGCTCTTGCTCAGGCTGGTCTCAACTCCTAAGTTCAAATGATCCGCCCTTCTCAGCCTCCCAGAGCGCCAGGATTGCAAGCGTGAGCCACCGCGCGGCCTACAGCTCAACACTTTGGCTTCGCGGGCAGTGCATTCACCCGCACTTGACACGGCCTACTCACTGCCCTGCAACCTCGGCCCGGCAGTGGGGAAGCACTTCCGCCTGCGGCCGCATCCGGCGTGCGGTGATGACGACATCTGGCCGGCGCCTGAGGTGTGGGCTGGGAGACTGGGCGGGTTTCCGAGGCTGCCGGCTGGACTGCTGAGAGCCGCTGTCATGGCTGCCGCTGTGTGGGGCTGCTTCTCCGTCCTGCTGCTGCTACTACCAAGGGATACCCAGAGTTCGGAGGTGTCCGGGATTGCTGCCGAGGGATCTGGAGGGAGTGGGGTCGGCGTGGGAGACCGCTTCAAGATTGAGGGGCGTGCAGTAGTTCCAGGAGTGAAGCCCCAGGACTGGATCTCGGCGGCCCGAGTGCTCGTAGACGGAGAAGAGCACGTCGGCTTCCTTAAGTGAGCATTTTGAGAGCAGCAGGATATCGGTTGGAATGGAGGCTGGAGGGGGGAATCTAAGGGAGAGCAAAGTGTCAGGATGGAACGACGTCGCTGTCTCAGACTGAAGGTGCAGGTGCTGTAACGGTCTAGGTCGGGAGACCTTGGGAGGCTGTCGGACGCTTTTTCCTTGGTCCCCTATCTCGGAAATGAAGATGGCAAGGCGCTCACCTTAGGGTCAGAACAGTAGAGTCAATTATTTTCAACCTCATTTGGCCCTCTATGGGAACGACCACTCCTGGGCTCTGGGGACAGGTGGATTCTTATTTTATCTTGGTGGATTCTTTCCTTGGCATCTCATCTGCTTTCTCTGGAACCTAGTCGCTTTTTGCATTTATTTCAGTCGTTTGGTAACTTGACGTTGTGTAGAAAGAGGCTAAACAAGTGGGAATTCTCAAAGCCGTAAGGGTTTTTAGTGATGATATAGACTGGGAAGGTAATGTTACTGCTTCTAAAATTAATGGGCCCTGAAGTCCCTAATCAGAGCACTTTTCGGGGTGGGGGGGAACCTAGGGATGGGATTGCTGTTCTTTTTTACACGTAAATTCTTTGTGGGATTAACTATATCACACTTGTCATTTATGTGAGACTAGAGTTTCTCTACGTTCCTTACTCTTTTCCAGCCATTAGAGGGTATGGGCTTTCTGTCTATTTTAAAAGAGGGAATGAATTCGAAAAGCACTAGTTCTGTAGCAGCCTGTACATGTTTGGTGTATGTATGATGTTTTAAATCTTTCCACCCTGCTTGGAAAAATGAAATGAAAGTATTTAGGAAAGAAAGTGTTTCTTTGGTGCTTTTGTACACCAGCAAGTGGTATCTGAAAATCAGACAACTCAAATAGAGATGTTTAATTCTAAATCTGACTTGTCCAAGAATGAGAATTTAAACCTCATATTAAATAATGACAAAATTCTGTCATTAAAAATATGGCATTGGGCCATTTGTTAGGGTTTACCCTATTTAGTGATGTTTTAATGATAATGCAGTCATTAAGCTTTGGAAAAGTAGCCTTTAATTGACCATTTGACCTCTCTACTCTTCTGTAGTATACAGTTCTTTTGAAAAGCACGTGTTGTTTTCACTTTGAACATAGTCTATCTTCCTGGTGTTGTGGCTCACAATCCTAGTAATCCTAGCATTCTGGGAGATTGAAGTGGGAGGATCCCTTGAGTACAGGAGATAAGACCAGGCTGAGCAAGGGCAAGATTCTGTCTCTACTAAATATAGAAAAAATTAGCAGAATGTTATGGTAGTTGCCTGTAGCCGCAACTACTCAGGAGGCTCTGGCAAGAGGATTGCTTGAGCTCAGGAGTTTAAGGTTGCTGTGAGCTAGGCTGATGCCATGGCACTCTAGCCAGGCAGTAGAGCAAAGACTGTCTCAAAATAAATGAATGAATGATTATAGTATATTAGTAATTGATTTATTTATAAATAAGAAAGTATAAGTAACCCTTATTTTACTGGGTTTTTTTCTCCCAGCTTTTTTTTTGGAATCATGACCTACGTTTTTAATAGTAAAATATATAAAGTACTTTAAACTTGCCTTTTTCATTAATATTTGTGAACAGCTTTTGATAGCATTTCCTTCCATTTGTATTTTAAAAGGTTTATTGAGAATTAATATGAGGGGCTTATGGTGACAACCTTGTTGGAAGAGGGGTAGGTAGTTTGTATTGTAGCTGGGTTTTTTGTTTTGTTTTGTTTTATGTTTTGTTTTTGTCTTTTTTTTTTTTGAGACAGAGTCTCACAATGTCATGACAATGTGCGACTCTGTAGATTGCTGTGGTGTCATAGCTCACAGCAACCTCCAACTCTTGAGCTCAATGGATTCTCTTGCCTCAGGCTTCTGAGTAGCTGGGACTACAGGCGCCTGCCACAATGCCCAGCTACTTTCTTCTGGTTTTGGTCAATATGGGGTCTTGCTCTTTCTAAGGCTGGTCTTGATCTCCAGAGCTCAGGTGATCCACCAGCTTCAGCCTCCTCGAGTTTGCTAAGATATTTCAGGTTAGTGGAGGTGGCTTGGGACTTGGCTAATTGGGATGAGGAAAGTTGGGGCTGAAGAGGTCTCTTGTTTTTCTCACTGTATATATTACCACAGTTAATTTAACCAGTCGTCTGTTTTTGGACATTTAGGTGGTTTTCAGTTTTTTTGACATAGTAAGACTATGTACTATACTTTCTTTGAACTTTTTATTTTTTTTATTTTTTATTTTTTATTTTTTTTTGAGACAGAGCCTCAAGCTATCCCCCTGGGCAG